CACACACACACACACACACACACACACACACACACACACACACACACACACACACACATGTATATATATATTGCATGTATTTATATTTAACCTTCTGAATAGTCCTACTTTATCTAATGGGCCAAGCGTGGTTTACTAATGCTTAGCTTTTTCTGTGCATCCAAGGGTTCTATGTTCGCGTCTGGTTGTCGCAAAATCTCGCTTTGCACTTTGAGTCCGTGGTTGTGTTGTGAGAGTAACGGTCAACTTCCAATTTTCGAATAGAGTAGTGCAAGAGTTGGCGGAAGCTGCTGTTGGTTGGTTGCCTTCCATCTAGTTTATCGGTTTAGAATTAGGGACGGCTAGATCGGATAGGCCTTTTGTAGCTCTGCGCGAATATCCTGAACAAATTTCCTTACCTAATAGCTAATATGTAACACGTGCTGAATAGGGGTTAATATCTAAATTTATTTACAATGCATACGCTGTAACATTTGAATATCATGCTGCGCGTGTATCATTATAGAAGTTAAGTTTCGTTTTTGTTTTTGCTATGGTTCTAACTTTAACCATATCACACGATTTTGAATAATGAAACCAACTCATGGCCTATACACGAATACGGTAAGCTTTGAGCTAGTAACTGGTTATAGCATTTTTAGGATAATTATACATTAAACTCTCTTTTTTTATGATTATTATTTTCTAATAACACAAGACTTAACAAGACACAGAACAGTATAACGTTAGGTTTAATGTTACGCTCAAGTTCAGAACTAGACAGGTGTAATCTAATTATTGTATTTCCAGAAAGACATATATTAAGTAATAAGCATAGTTACTTTAGATATTGCTCATTAGAAAATTCGATAATTATTCTACTACTACTACCGAAATACAAGTTTAGCTAAATCTATCTTCAGAAAAAGTTACTTTTAAAGTACATAATGCAGAGTGCTTCTTCATAGCCATAAGGAAAGCATAAAATTTCAAAATAACTATCTTGGTGTAAATTCATTAAAACATGAACATGGTTCAAGAGTCACGTTAAGCTCATTTTCTTTTACTATATGTAGTTAAATAATGCTAGGCCTGACATATATTTTGTTATATAATTCATTGAAACACCAACACTCTGTAACTTGGTCTAAGAAAGGCTAGTTTATATCATTAAAGACTTGCCCATTAGCTAACTTCAATTTACTTATGAGAAACTGTGTAATGATATTTACGTTAACATACAGCTTAGGCGACTAGTACCATGATATGCTTGTAAGATTCAGTTGATATCTCTATAATTTCATTTCTGCTGACTTACAAATCAAGAGGCGAGTATCTTTACAAGTGTGAAACGTAAATCACATTCATATACAAGAAACTATTATCATAATAACCTGTATCATGATTGTATATATACTTTAGTTGACATTCGCAAATAATTATGTAATTAGTATCATAATATATCTGTAACCTTACGGCAGTTGTCATTCACAAATATTTATGTAGCTAACGTCATGACATATCTCTAACTTCATTTAGCATTGGTAAATAATTATATAACTAGTATCATAACATATCTGTAACTTTAGTTGACATTCGCAAATAATTATGTAAATAGTATAATGACGTATCTTTAACTTTATTGCAGTTGACATTCGCAAATAATTATGTAGCTAGTATCATGACATATCTGTAACTTTAAATGGTATTCGCAAATATTTATGTAGCTAGAATCATGGCATATATGTAACTTTAGTTGACATTCGCAAATAATTATGTAAATAGCATAATGACGTATCTTTAACTTTACGGCAGTTGACATTTGGAAATAATTACGTAGCTAGTGTCATGACACATCTGTAATTTTACTTCTGTTAACATGAAAGCTGAAGAGAATAGTATCATGACGTATACACACTTTCCTTTCCTAGCCTTGTAAACTGGCTTGTTAAGATATCATTAGCACGACTTGTAAGTCTAGGAAGTAAAGGAAAGACTGAATCAGACTTTTTTAGAAATCAGTATCATAAACTTATTTTAGGTGCTTGAACCTAAAAAAAAACCTCAAAAACGAGCATAAGCAGGTGCACAGAGCAAATGACTCCATCTTAAACACCACATGGTTAAACAACAGTTATAGCACTTTAATTACCCAATTACGTTAAACACAGTCATACATGTTCAATAGTTGTGTCATACTCTTCTTTATTCGGGGAAATATTTCCTAGTTTAGATATAAGGAATAGGAGTGTTAGCACTTCCCAAGCACGTATTTTAGGTTAGCACAACACTATTCATGTTACACTTCCTAGTAAACAGCCTTTTGTGAATCGCTAAATATTTCACAACGTCTCTTGTACCTGAATATTTTGTTGTATAAATACATAACAGCAACAACAAAGACGGGTTTTTACGTTACATTCATATACAAAAATTCTTATTTTTACCACTCTGCTTTCTAAACGATTCTCATTAATTTTTAACTACTAATACAAAACAATGTTTAAAAATCTGTTTTAAGGTTATTTATTGTTGTTTCAAATAATAGCAAAAAAATAATAAAAAATTCTCCAGCTTAGATATCCATCATATTAGCCTAGAAAATGTTTGAAAAACATGACATTACGGATCACATATTTTCGATCGAAGTCTAAATTTGCTAATTTAAGTTTCCTTTTCTCGAGTAAGTCACCGAGCAAGACTTTTTCTGTTACAATAATAATATTATATAACTGGATCTTACGACGAAAACCAAAAATAACACAACAGGTTAATTACTTTCAACAGCTTCGTGTATGATCACAGAATATATACATAAAAATTTCTAAATGTTCTTATGAAAATGTGTTATTATTCTTATGGGGAGGATATAAACCTCAACAGGGGAGGAGGAATGTTTTGAAATACCTTGAACTAGGTAATAATGAAATGATGTATATGAAATTAGAAAAAAAAATCGGATTAAACACAAACAAGAAGCTTTTTTTATCGTTATACGTGAAGCAAAAGCTATATTTATGGCCAATTGGCTGTCTTTTTTTTTCAAACAATGCTCTCTGAAGTTTCTGAATAAGCTATGAATTATTCTGTTCAAGAGAAATATCATACAGTGTAAAATATGGTAAAACTAGCTAATTGAAATCAATCCTTATGCCAAGAACTGCTACAAAATTAAGAAAATTTTGTTTTTTACTACATTGATTCAGAAGGATAAGAAGTATATCGAATAAGAATATTTATATTGTTAAGAACGATCAACAGAATGTTTCGATAGGTCTAAAAATTACACAGTAAATGATTGGCTGAGAAAATTGTTTTTAGCTGTGGTGTAAACAAACCTGTTATATACTTTTATATGTTGTAAGTATAATTCAAGTTTCATAATTTAAAGTCATAATTTCAGCTGGCAATGCTGTGTTACAATTATTACTTATCCGCTATGCCTTTGTTGCCAAACTCATGTGTCATGGAGGTCATGTACCCGCTGAAACAACTGAGACACAGACCGTAATAGAATAAAATAATCTAATCCTCAAAGCTGATACATCATCATGGCTAAATCAGCTCATCCAGTGTACTTGTAAATCATTGGAACCTGAAACATCGCCACATCCTGAGATCTGTGTGTTAACATAGATAAATAATGATATCCTAAAATGCTATTTAACACAATTAAATCATCACATTTTTTAAAACTCGTTTCATTAACGTTTCATTGAAACGATGTGTCAGCATTATGCTCATTATGATCTGAGACACCAGATGTAACAGGGCTAAAGCACCACGTCATTCTATAATTTCAAACTTATAACAAAATCCATGAGCTATAAAAAAACGGCATTCACGTGACGTCTGTTAGTAAGCTTTAAATTTTTACGCTGTTTAGGATTAAGTTGGGTTTAAAATTGTTATAAAGATGACATAAGATCTCAGAAACGTGGACTGTACTTGCTAGTTTGATACTTGCTCACAAACCTAAGGTATGTAATAAACTTCTGCTACTTCTTTCTGAACTTTGTAAACACCAGACTACATTTAATTAAGGTAAGTAGTTCCCGTAAAAATCACACACACACACGCGTGCGTTTATGATGTTATGTCCGTGCTGTATCTATATATATATGCACTTTCTTTCGTGAATATCGTTTCGTTTGTAAGTGTTCATTTTCACTTTCTGACTTTCCACTTCTAGTGTTTGTTATCTACTTCCTGACCATTTCTAGTTAGTGTATGTGGTTTCTATTACCTGGCCATTTCTAATGTGTGTGTATGTTATCTACTTCCTTACCATTTCTAGTTAGTGTGGGTATGTGTGTTTTCTATTACCTGACCATTTCTAGTGTGTGTGTTATCTATTTCCTAACCATTTCTAGTTACTGTGTGTGTTTTCTATTATCTGACCATTTCTAGTGTATGTGTGTTATCTACTTTCTGACCATTTCTAGTTAGTGTACGTGTGTTTTCTATTACCTGACCATTTCTAGTGTGTGTGTGTGTGTGCATGTTTTCTATTATCTAAGCACTTCTAGTATGTGTATGTTTTCTATTACCCGATCATTTCTAATGTGTGTGTGTGTTTTTCCACTCTTTGTGTGTGTTTTTCTCAGTACTTGACTATCATTTCTTGTGTTTGTGTGTGATTTGGTTCTATTACAAGGCCATCCTTTGTTGGGTTTCATTTTTTTACCTGATTATCATTTCTAGTATATGTGTTTTTATTAGTAACTGATCATCATTTCTTGTGCATGTGTTTTTTAATAGCAACTGGCCACCATTTCTTGTGTATGTAGTTTTATTTTATTTTTTCTAGTAACTAGACATCATTTCTAATATGTGTATGTGTGTGCGATTTTTCGACTGCTTGATCTTTATGACCTGGCATGGGTACTAGACTTGTAATCTGTGGGTCGTGGGCTCGAATCCCCTCACCGAACATGCTCGCTTTTTCAGCTGCAGGTGCGTTATAATGTGATGGTTAATCCTACTTTTCGTCTATAAAGAGTAACCCAAGAGTTGGAGGTGGATAGTGTTGACTAGCTACCTTCCCATTCGTCTATCTAATACCTGACCATCATTTCTTCACTTTTTTGTTTGAAAAGTAGCAACATTGATTCTTAAACTACTACAATTATCTGTAACTCTCTGTATTACTTGTTTATAACTGTATGACCTAGAGAAGGTTTCCATTCGTATGAAACTGCAACAACGACGAAGGATGTCGATGTGGACCAAAAGTTCTGTTCATATTTATGAAGAGATATCCAGTAAGAATATTTAAATTTATATTGTTAAGAAAGACTGATGGAAAATTTTGATAAAGCTGGAAATGGCACGGTATATTGTTGACTACGGAAATTGTTTTTATATGTGGTGTAAGAAAAGTTTTTATCAATTTTTCATTTTGTTGTTGGTATAATTCAAATTTCATCACTGAATGTCATAATTTCATCTAAAAATGCTGTGTTACACTTATCAGTTATCCAGCACGCTTTTGTTGGTATACTCACGTGTCATGGGAGACACGTACCTGCTGAAACCACTCTGAGATACGCGCACTAATAAAATAAAATCATTAAATCATGTTTGCGATCATAAACATTATTATCACTATCATCTTAAATATTTGTTATGCGTTAACAAAGGAAGGCAAAATTATGTTAACATTTGATCCCAGATAAATCAAGTAATGGGTTGTAAAACGTATATTTAGGTAACTAAATAACTATATCGTGGCCATAATTCACACTGAAACAAGGTATAGATATAATAGTCGGTGTTACAACAGAATATGTGTTAAGTTAACGTATGTTTAATTGTAAGTGTAGGAATAACTGCTACTAAGTGGTAATTTATCATAATATCCTGCCCTATTCAGTATACAAGCCAACAAGTACTTGGTTCCGGATCTGCTTTCCTGAGAACCTTATCATGTTTATTCGACAATTTTTCCGATGTCCTATACGTTCCTTTAAACCACAGTGGACTAAATTTTAAGAAACCATTTTCTCAAAGATTGCCATCATATGTGTAATCCATGCCACATAGCGACAGCCTTACGAGGATTGTGAAACATGTCTTGCCAATGTGCTATACCCCTCCCATGTTCATTCATACCAAGAATACAGGTTCCAAGAAGAGGCGTGTTACTATGGTGACAGTTCATTACGCTGACCATCAGACTACAGTGCTTCAGCCCATCTTCTGATATGCCAAAGCTTAAAGCTTCATTCCACACTGGGTTGTTTGTTGCTCGTTTTGTCGTAGTTTTCTTCTTCTTCATCTTTCTGTCTCCGTAGACAAGAGCAACTTTTACGTAAGCGTCTAGACAAAAGGAAAATACCTGACATCAGACGTTCAGAGTAAAGAACCTTTTATGATTACCACTGAAGGAAATAGGGTTTAAACATACCGTACCGTACTGAAATACAGGGTAAACAGAAAACTTACAATCATTTGTTAAACTTGCATATTCTACAACTTTTTTCAGTTTTTTAGTAATGTTGTCCCGACATTTACTTCAAAACATTATATCCTGTATTAATTCAACTTAATTTCCGTTTCTTATGCGATAAAAATATCATTTTCACAAAAGGTAAACAATTTACTCAAAGATTATCAATTGTGTTTTTTTTTTGGGGGGGGGGGTTGTTCTGATAATATTTTAGCTTTTATGCACTTATATGACACCTCTCCTAGAACCGAGTTGTATAGGAGATTAAAGAATTGTATGCCTGTTCCTACAGTGAATTTAAACTTCGTAATTGGTTTCTTTACCATTTGAGTACATTTTTTCTTCCCCGTTTGTTGTGTGTGTGTGTGTGTGTATGTTAAATTTTCCTTTTTATTAATGGATTTTGTACACATATTTGATATAATTTGATTGTAATTCTACAATTCGTAAAACTATACATTCGTTTTGATCTAATGCTGCTTTTTGATATTAATTTTAATTTTATCACCAGCTGATTAAAATCATTCAATTAAGATATTATGAGTTTGCTACGCATATTGTTCGTTTCTATTTTATGAAATGTTTTTTTAATTTTGTTGGTTAGTTTACTTTGGCGCCTATTATTAATTGTTTGTTTGTTTGTAATTATGCAAAAAGCTACACAAGGGCTATCTGCGCTCTGCCCACCACGGGTATAGAAACCCGGTTTCTAAAGTTGTAAGTCCGCAGACATACTGCTGTGCCACTGGGGGCACCTATTACTTAAAGTTACCTTTTTTAGAATTTGGTAATACTTAGAACCTTTCTTTCTCGCCTAGTTCTCACAGTTAACTGTGTTTACTTTGTAATTTATTTAATGATATGAAAATGTCATGCATTTTGTGAAATACAATCACGAAATCCATGGAATAACGTGCCTTATTTGTATTAGGTCGTCAAGAAATTAATATCGCTTTTTTAAATGATAAAACCGGAACAACTTGTATATCAAAACAAAACATTTATTAAATGAAATAGTTTCCATTCCTATCGATGATGCTTTTCCATCTTACAATCAGGTTGTTAATGGCTTGATTAAAGAAATAACTTGGCTTTGAAGCAAAAAAACATGTTGATGTCCGCTTTAACACCTTCCACATTTGCATACGTTTTCCCATTAAGATGGTGTTGCAGCGAACGAAAAAGATGGTAATTTGATGGTGCCATATCTGGAGAATAAGGTGGATGGGGTAGAACTTGCCAACCCAACTCCACAATCTTGTGTTGCGTCAAACGTGCCACATGTGGACGTGCATTGTCGTGGAGAAGAACACCTTTCCGATTGACGAGTGAAGGGCTTGATTTAAACGTTCCAGTTGCTGACTATAGATCTCTACATTGACAGTTCGCTGTGGATTGAGAAGTTCGAAATGAATTACTCTTTTGATGTCCCACCAAATGCAAGGCATCAATTTCTGCGGATGGAGTCCAGGTTTGAGGGTCGGAAGTGGTTTTTGTCTAAGACTGCGCTATTGTTTTTGACGTTTATATTAGCATAGAGAATCCATTTTTCATCATCCGTGACAATTCTGTCCAAAAATGGTTCACGCGCATTACGTTCCAGAAGAGACGAGGCAACGTTCATAAGTTGGAAAAGATGATCATCAGAGAGTTAGTGAGGCACCCAAATACATTCTTTATGGAGTTTTTCCACATTCCTTAGGTGTTTACGTATTGTTTTATGAGAGACATGTAATTTCAGAGCCATCTCGCGAGTGTGTTGCCTTGGGTTAGACTCAACGAGCGTCTTCAGAGCATCAATATCCATTCCAACATGTCGGCCCCTGCCAT